CTGCAGAAGAAAGAAAGAAAGACATGCATGTTTGGAACAACATGTATAGTGATAAATAATTTTGGTTACATTTTTGGTTATGATGCTGCTCACTAGGTTTTAGACAGAGCATATTATTAAGGTTTTGCACATCAGAATATTTGTTGTTATCAGTTTTTTTATGTATTCCACATTTACATTTTAACACACACTTTTTATCTAAAGTAACGTACGGCACACTAATTGCTGTGATGGCCTACAGCTTCCTAGGCTTAAGTTCCTTGCTCAAGCTCGTCGCTGATGATAAGGCTTCTTACAGTAACCCTCTAGCTCATAGGCCATGTCTGTCTGTGGTTGTGTTCTAGCTTAAAGATTACCTTTGACCTATTATCAGCACAAAGCTTGACCAAAATGGTATCAAAACAAAGGCAACCTACCTATAAAATAACAAATAAGACGTAATTTGAGATGGACAAAAATTTGTTAAAGCTGAATTGTTTTTCTTTTTCATATTAAAATACCTTCTGTCTCAGCTAAAAATACAGACTTATAAACAGTTATTTGGAGATGCTGTTTCTCACCAGCTCAATACAGCAACATTTGCTCAACCTTGAGTTTGGGACGGGACTTCCTGTCTGTCCAACCAATGGCTGATATGGGAAGTCTTCAGGAAACCTGTTTGAAAACAGTGATTTCTAATTCACTTTGGTGCCACAAGTGGCACAGAAATTGCACACTTCTTTTAATGTATGTAATGTGACTATAACCAAATGTTTTGTCTATGTATAGTTTAGGTTAGTCAGTAAGCAATCATGTTATTTGGTTGAGATTTTACATTGATAGTTCAGATTTAAATTAATTTGCTTAACACATTCTATTCATGCATTTTTAAAGCATTGCTCTGCTTTGTTTAGCTTGGCTGCTGCTGACCCGAAACGTTGCAATGTTCGCATAGATCGTCCAAGGGATCCGCTGATGTTAAAGTAAGGGAACGTCTCTCTCGTGAGGCATGGTGCCCGAGTTTCCATGGGAACTGCAAATCTACCTCCCGCCCTACATGTAGACCTTGTGATATTTTTCAACAATGTCATGCAGCAGAACTAGCTCACTAAAAGCAGTGGGTTGATCATAGTCCCCTCCCTCTCTCTGTCTTTTATTATTTGCATACATTTATTCACAGCTTTTCTGTTTTATCTTTTTTGATTTATCCAGCTACTTAATACACCCACAGCACATGCAAACACATTAAATATCATACATAAATGTGTATTTATATCAAAGATCCTATACTTCTATAAGTTCTTTAAACTGCAAGGCTCTAAACATCAGTAAATATTGATGATAATGTATTTATCTGATGCTTTATAATGCATAAAGCTTTGGTCGATTCATATGTTAATACTTGTGGTACTGTTATTTTTTAACTCTATAATAATTAGCAACTTTGAAGTACTATATCTTAATGAGATATTTTTACATGATCTGACCTTTAAAATATATTTTTGTAGCATAAACCAGTTAATTTAGATCTTACCACTGTCAGACTCTGTTCCATGTTTTGCCTGTGTCTTGCTCCCCAGGTGTTCCTTTCCCATGTTTAATTTGTCCCAGGTGTTCCCCATGATGGTTCATGGATCCCAGGTGTGTCTCGTCATCCCCGCCTCCTCGTGTGTGTATAAAAAGTGTTCCCAGTCCCAAGTTCTCTGTCCGCTGTGAACGTCTTCATGTAAACGTCTTCCTGATTCGTCTCCCTTGGTTCCTTGGTGGTAATAAACTCCTGTTAAACGTATTCTCCAGCGTCTCCTCGTTCCTCGTGTGTGTGCATCGTGACAGAACAGTGGACCGAACTGTAAGCGGCATCCCTTCCCCGTGTTTGATTTCCGGTTTTTGTAAGTTTTTGTTTTGCCCTTTTTTCCCGTGCGCTCCTCCACGTCCCCATATGGAGGAGCG